TAATATGGATGAAAATTCAGTGATGCCATTCAGAATCTGCACTGCTCACATTGTTATAAGCAGAATGACAAACTGAAAAGAATCTTGTAGGGATATAGCTATTATATAGAACTGTAAAAAAAAAACCCAAGAGGGTGGCAAAACGTGTTCTGCTTTGTCATAAATCAGTTGGTTCAGTTCAACCCCAGGCCTATCGAAACAGGGAGTTTAAAGTAGCCCCATGTCTTTGCCTTTAAGAAACCACAGTTTCTTAAGTTTTCTTTAACGATGTCTGATAACTATTTATATTTGCCACCTAATTTAGTACAAACAACAACCGTTTTTTGAGAGAGGACATAAGCCAGTGATGGTGAACCTTTTCAGCACCGAATGCCCAAATCAGAACATGTGTGCATGTGTGTGCACCAGAGCATCATAAACCCAAAGACCAAATGCCTGTTTTTTGCCTGTTTTGGGGGCTGTTTTCAGGCCGTTTTTGTAATGGTCTTCACGGGTGCCAGAATGCTGGAAAATGGCCCCAAAACACCCCGAAAAATAGCCTGGGTTTTGGCAATTTTCATTTCAGTCCATTTTCTGGTGCTCTGGCACCCGCGAAGACCAGCAGGCGTTTGTGCATACCACAAACCAGAAGAGCAGCTGGCAATGTTGCACATACCCTCTGGCACACGTGCCACAAGTTCGCCATCATGGACATAAGCTATCTATACAGACAAAGTGGATAAGAAGGAATAGTATAAAAATGGAGGCCTGCCAGTTTCTTAAGGGGAAAAAAACTGGATTATGAAATTTAAAAAATCATCTTTTTGGTCCATTGGTAGTCCTATGTTAGAAATCAATGGTACTAACCCCCCCCCCCCAAAAATGAACTTTCAGTTTACTAAATCTTTCATTATCCCCAATGGCCACAACTAACCAGGCCACTATTTCTTTACTAGACCCATTTTTCAGGTATTTAACTATATTTTAATTTTTCATTCACTTAATCACATCCTCTAACCCAACTGAATAGCTGCAATATATAAGCTCACACCATGGAGTCCTGCAGGTTCTTCCCCTGAGGGATGCAGCTTGAGTTTGTTTCTTTGTTTTGTTTAGGCCTTAGCCTATCACGTTAAGAGAAAAAGGAAATTAGGAATAATACTTAAAAACAAAGAAGCATGTTCTTTTATTGGATTATTTAATATTTTCCTCGATTCAGACTCAGAGCATGCATTTCTGCACCACTGCAATTGTCTATCTGCCTTAAGAACTGAAACAAAATTAAGAGGCCATCTCCTTCCACTTTTAGCCTCAGATAGCAATCCATGCCAACAACTAATTCCCCCCCCCCCCATCCATGGGTCAAGAGTATACAGTTGACAAGGAAACCAGAGCATGACACAATCAGGAGAGGTGATGAAGAAGAAGAAATATACCAAAGCTATTATTTTAATGGTTTTGTCCTGAGGATAAGGAGGAATGGCAAACACTGATAAATCAAATATTTTTTTGTTCAATATAAAGCCATATGATTATTTGATATATAGCAGCCTATTTTGATGCATGGGTGCAGGCAGCCAACCAAGGTCATCTGGCTTAACCTTTTCTGCTCTAGCACAATTTTGAATGCAACATTTTCAAAATGCAATTAATATTTCTTTTATCTCTGAGTAGGACAGCTCAAAGAATTTTGCTGCTGAAGGAAGAGTGACGAAGTGTTCTGCAGATCAAGATGCATAATATGCAAGAGGAAGAAGAACCCAGTGCACCCTTTCCTACCAGGCAGTAAATGCTAATAGTTATGGTGGTAATTAGTATCTTTCATGACACATTTCGTGACTATACATATTACCTTTCATATAGTGTGGTGAATTCAGTAATTGCAACAAAATACCTCCTGATGGGGCTGGTCCTGAAGAAAGATACTTACTGACCTATACATCAACAAAACAAAAAACAAAAAAACAAGGAAAACCCTCCCAATGTTTACATAGCCAATATAAGTACAACAGGATAGCCCTCTTGGGTGATTAAACTCTTTTATATCACCATTATTGTGTTCACTAGTGGGACAAATTCTTTTTCTAATTTTGGAATTTTTTTAAAAATGGAATGCAAAAATGCTTTATCAAACTGTGAAAAAGATGGATCCAAGATGGTCCTGTTTTTTCAATCTTCTCCAATCTGCAGATCCTCTAAATTCTGGCATTTCAGCTCTCTGAATTGCCTACTATATTTGCATGTGAGTTGAAAAAAACTAGGCAAATAGCCAAGACTGGACCATGGCTAGCATCATATTGTAGCCAGCACAACCAATCACTACAGGTTGGAGATTCTTGTGGTATAAATACTGTGCATTTCTTAGCACCCTGCACTCTCTAGGCTCAGCTTCCCAAATTTATTTGGAGCACAAGGAGTGTCAATGTAGCACCTGTCTCCAATTTCTTAAAACATCATACATTTTGAAGGAATCATACGAGAGTTTTAAATACTGGAGCAACGTGAGTGGAAATGAGGAATCCTCAGAATTTCTGTGGTCCAGACATCCTTTTAGGCGTGACCCGTCAGTTCCAGGCTATAGAAATTACTTTGGACATGGATTTGAAAGCATTAGAAACAGCTCATGAAAATGAAATGTATCATTCATCAAAGCTTTCTTATGAAGAAAGGGGATCTCTGATCTAAAATATAGAAATGGCTTGGTTAATAGACTTCATGCAGCAAATTGGTGTTTCTGTGCTAAATTTTAAAGAGGAAGGTATGTCCCAAGAGGATGGTCCCATAGATTGACCTATTATACTGCTCATTAAAGTGATTATCCATGCTTCCTCCCTTTAGTGTTTTTTAATTGTTATGATGTAGATATTATCAAATGGATGCTTAATTTCAAGAAAGAGGAAAAATGATGGGTCTCAAGAGTCTTTGAAGTCATGTGCTCCATATTCCATAAATGCAGATGCTGGTTTGTGGTTTTTCAACAGTGGGACAAGGAAGCGACATACTGGAGCCAGAGATAAAAGTAGCAGTAGGGCCATAATTCAAATTGCAGATAGAAGGCTCCAGGTTCCTTCCCAGTACTCTTAAGTATCATTGAGGCTGGATAAACATCCATTAAATATCTGTCAGATCAACAATACTACTCCAGATGCACCAATGTTCTGAATCAGAGGCTAGGACTGCATTGCACTAAGTCATAGTTTGTTCAATCACAACTGGTTGTGTTCACTCATATTAGGCCATAAACCATCACTTACTGACCTCAATGAATTTAGCCACGCATATCAAATCACAGGTTTATTTGTTCAACATTTGCCTAAAATAGATTTAGAATTTGTCAGTATGATTTGCAAAGCCGCCAAGGTAGTTAGATTGTACTTTAATTTGTTCAGATTTAATGCAGATATGTATGTTATCCATTACACTGTTATGCAAACAATACAGCTTAAGGCTAAACCTGTTGTAGAAATCCAGTCATTATAACAGCCTAAAGCCCATATCCAGCCTTTTGGCTGTCCGGAGTCCAGCCCGCATGGATGGCCTCCATTTTGAAGGTGACTCCTATTTATTTTTTTTCAATTTACATATCAGCTTATATATGCTTATGTATCTCCACAGCCCTATTGGTTCAGGCCTTCACAACAGTCCCAGGTTCTCATGTGGGCTCTTGGGAAAATTAACTGCCCAGCACTGCATTATAAGCAGCTTCCCATTTCTTTTATAGGCTCTTGACAAGTCTTCTCTGGAGCATCCTACTGGAAAACGGGATGCAGGTGTCTTTGTGGTCCAGTCTAGCTGGGCTGTACTCTCACTCCCTTTGCGCAATACATGCAACAAAAACCAGCTTAGAGAGAATGCTTTGCCAGGATCTGTCTTTTTTGAGGTACCTTGAGGCAAGCCTTCAAACCTGGCCCAAGTTAAGCCCTGCAGGCTGCAACAGCTGTCTTTTCCCTTTCCGCTAGGAAGTAGACTCTGCAGACAGATGCAATGGGAGGGAAGGTTTCTGGACTCTCTCCCTCCTTTCAAAGCCAAGGAAGGAATGATGCGTGGGTGTGGGTTTTGTGTTGTGTGTGTGTATGTGTGTGTAAGCGCGGGGTAGGCCTGAGACAGAACGCCCGCAACTCTCCTCCCTCGCGGCGGAAACAACCCAGTAAGTTCTGTATCTGGTCGCAGACGGAGGGGGGGGGGGAGAGACTTGACCAGCGGCAGGGTGTGTCCTCTCTCCCGTATCTCGCTTCCTGCTTTATTTGCGCAAACCTTTCCCAAAGGAGCAGCAGCCGGCTAGCAGAGCGGGGAGGATGGTGGGGAGAGCGGGGAATCACCTGGTTACGGTGCCACCTGGGAGGTAAAAAAAAAAAACCGAAAACCACCCGAAAGGCGAAAATAAAAATTAAAAATAAATAAATAAATAAATAAATAAAAGTGTCTACCTGCACCCGACGCCGCCCCCGTCTCTTTTGAAGGAGATCACACGGCTTCTCCATTAATGGCAGGTTTGCCTATTAGCCATCGCCCCCCCCCCCCGGATAGTTCCCACAAAGCAGACGGGGAGGCTGCCTGTTTTCAAAGACGAAGCGACGGCGGACCGGTAGGGGAACCCCCCCTCCCCCCGACTTCGATCTAATCTTGTTTCTCCTTGGGAGCAACCCGGCCTCCAACTCCCCGGATGCTCTTTCCCAGGCAGAAGCGACACTGCAGCCCACCCGACAGGCCAGAGAAAGGGGCCAAGCGGCGCCCCAGCGACGAGAGAGTTGCCGCAATAGAACCTGGCTCGTCTTTCCCCGTCTGAAAGGAGACCGGTCGGGCACAGCGAGCCCACAAGCGAAGGGCTTGTGGGCAGCAGCCGGGCGCATCCAGCTCGTCCCTGTCGCCGCGCACGCAGCGGCCGAGGCTTTCCAGGCACCTGCCGCAGCGAGCCGGGGGCACCGCGCGCAAACGCTCCCTCGGCCGCTCCTGCTACTTTGCCGGAGGCGAGCCGGACGGGGAGCGGGGGAGAAGGCGAGAAAGCGCGCCCGGCCACTTACCGCTTTGCTCCCCTAGGAAGACCAACTTGAATTTCCTAAGCGGGTTCCCGAAATCGCCTCCCGTAGTCATGATGCGCCTGGCTCGGCAGAGGGCTGCGCCGGGAGGAAAGCGAGGGCAGGGCGGGGAGAAGCAGCGTCTGCAGACTGGCTCCTTTACTCAAGGCGACCCTAGCGCTCCCCTGCCCTCGCCACCAGCGGAGGGAGGCTCCGTCCTCGGCGTTCTATAGGGGAGCCGCCAGAGCCGGGCACAGCCTGCGCCTGACGGGCAAGGACGCGAGTCCGCACCGGAGGAGGGCTGCGGGAGATGCTGGAGCGAGCGTGCTGCTCTCGGCCGCCTGCTGCCGCTGCTGCTCCTTGATGCCGCCTGCCACCCGCTCGCCTCCCTCCCCAGTCCGCGGCGCCTGCGCTCTGGTCCTATCCCGGCCAGCCTGATGTCATGCTGGAGCGCCAGCAGTCCAATGCGGTGCTGCAGGAGAGGGGTGTGCTTGTGCATAGACGGACCCGGATTGCTGGTGGGGAGGGAGGGGCTCGCGGGTGTCTGTGATCCCGAGGAGAGGGTAATCCCAACCCCTGGAGGAGTTGGCTGCACCTTCCCGAAAGCCCAACGGCTTCTCTGCCTCTCATTCCCACCCATCTGGTGTCCACCCTCCCCCCACATCTAACCGGCACCTGCTGGGAGTAAGCAGGTGCGGTAGAAGCCACAAGTGTGTCCCTTGAGTACGAAAAGGCAGACGAATTGGCTGGGTGGTGATGAAATTTTCCCATTGAACGATCCTGAATTATAACTCTTTTCTGGTGGTTTTAGCAACAGGAGTTATTAATGGAGATATACTCCATCTGTCTGTCTGTCTGTCTGTCTGTCTGTCTGTCTGTCTGTCTGTCTGTCTGTCT